CCCCAAAACCCCAAAACCCCAAAACCCCAAAACCCCAAAACCCCAAAACCCCAAAACCCCATTTTGCGCTTCAGATTGAATCATAAACACAATAATATTGGTTGATTTTTCTTTGAATAAACCCATCAAAGGAAATTTGATTAATATTTTTTAAATGGAAACCAACTACACCTTGACTAACATCGAGGAAACTGAGCAGTTCCTGTCAGCCAATGGGATAGAATTCACTGTAAGCTTTTGTTGAGAATCCCTATAGAGTGTTAAACATGTAGCAGTACCCACTGTCGAGAAAATGCTTGAAGAAGTCAAATTTGAAGATAAAAATGTCACTTTTGCGAAGAATCTTTTCCTCAAAGACAAAAAGAAGAAGACCTTATACTTGCTGATAGCCAAGCATGATACTGTCTTCGATTTCAAGGGGCTTGCTAAGTTCCTCAAAACAGGGTCTAGCAATATTAGAGGTGGAGATGCTGATAAATTGGAAGAAATACTCAAGGTAAAGGGAGGATCTGTGAATCTTTTCTCCATCCTCAATGATAATGAGAATAAGGTTGAGCTTCTTATGGACAAGGCTCTGTACGATCAAGAATACATTGGATTTCACCCAATGCAGAATGATGCTACTTTTGCTATCTCAAGCTCTGATATGGAGAAAGTCATCAAACTCTCCAACCATGAACCCCAAGTCATTAACTTCTCTGAATTAATAGTATTATCTGAAGCTGGAAAGGATAAACAAGAGAAGAAAGAAAAACCAAAGAAAGAGAAGAAGGAAAAAGTTAAGGATGAAGACCTTCATGAGCTTGGAATCACTATCTCTAGACAAGATGACTTCTCCCTTTGGTACTCCCAGACTATCACTAAGAGTGAGATGATCGAGTACTACGATGTCTCTGGATGCTACATTCTTAGACCTTGGAGTTATGGAATCTGGGAAAGAGTGCAAGGATTCCTTGATAATCTTTTCAAAGAAAACGGAGTCGAAAATGCTTATTTCCCAATCTTTGTCACTGAAAAAGCATTGACAAAAGAAGAAGACCATCTTGAAGGATTTGCCCCTGAAGTTGCTTGGGTAACCAGGAGTGGTAAAACAGAAATGAAGGAACCAATTGCCATCAGACCAACAAGTGAGACCATCATGTATCCAGCATTTGCTAAGTGGGTACAGTCGCATAGGGACTTGCCAATCCTTCTAAACCAGTGGACCAACATTGTGAGATGGGAGTTTAAACACCCAACTCCATTCATCAGAACAAGAGAGTTCTTGTGGCAAGAAGGCCACACAGCTCATGCCACCAAGGATGAAGCCACTAAATTTGTGTATGCAATACTTGAATGCTATGCCAAAGCTTATGAAGAAATGTACTCTGTCCCAGTCATCAGAGGAATCAAGAGTAGAGGAGAGACTTTTGCAGGAGCCGACTTCACTTCAACCGTCGAGCTTTTCGTGCCAGCCAACGGAAGAGGAATTCAGGGAGCTACTTCACATTACTTAGGACAAAACTTCTCCAAGATGTTCGATCTCTGGTTTGAAAACGAAGATAAGAAGAAAGACTTCGCTCACCAAACCTCATGGGGATTTACTACCAGATCGATCGGAGCTATGGTTATGATCCATGGAGACGACAAGGGACTCGTCTTGCCACCAAGAGTTTCTCAGGTTCAAGTTGTGATTGTCCCAATCTCAAACAAGACGAACTCTGACCAAATTCTTGAAGTAGCTGACAAAGTCTTTGATACATTAAAGAAAGCAGGAATCAGAGTCAAGATTGATGATAGAAAGAACTACAAGCCAGGATGGAAGTTCAACCACTGGGAAGTCAAAGGAGTCCCAATCCGTATCGAAATTGGTGCTAAAGATATCGAAAAGAGTGAAATCAGAGTAGTCAGAAGATTTGACGGAAAGAAGTTCCAGCTCAGTACTGAAGGTTTGGCAGACAACTTACATGAAGAACTCCAGAAAATCCAACATGAAATGTATGAGAAAGCTGTCAAAGAAAGAGACCAAAGAATCAAGAAATCAGCTACTTGGGAAGGATTCATGACAGAACTCAACCAGAGAAACTTAGTTCTCACTCCATGGTGAGACAAAGAGTCTTGTGAAGACAATGTTAAAGAAAGATCAAAGGAAGAGTCAAAGCAAGCTGAGAATGCTGGTGAAGAAGTTCTCACTGGAGCTGCTAAGACTCTCTGCAAACCACTTGAGCAACCAGAACTTGCTGAAGACACTAAATGCTTTGCTTGTGATGCTGGTGCAACAGCAACTGCTTTGTGGGGGAGATCATACTAATCAATTTGCAAGTCAATATTCCAATTAGGCATCAAGAATAAGGGGTTTTGGGGTTTTGGGGTTTTGGGGTTTTGGGGTTTTGGGG